ACAGCCCGCATACCGAACACTCAGAGTCTCGATACCACTCCCGATCACGCGTCTCGTCATTTCGCCCGAAGAAGACTACCTCGCCGTCTCCACCTCGCATACGGTACACGTAATACACCTTCCCGACTCGTCGCTGCTCGGAGCTGGAGAGGACGACGGCCCGTTGAAGCCAAAGGCCTTCCAGTTGGGACCGACCGTACACGTTCTCGAAGAGTCGCCCGTCGCAACAACACTATGGCATCCATTGGGCTATCACGGACGCTGCCTAGTTACTATTACAAAGGCGGGCGTAGTCCGGCTGTGGGAGATCAACCGCGCCGACAGGTCTACCTTCAGTGAGCCGTCGCTCTCCATCGATCTGCCCAAACTCGCAAACGCTACCAGCGACCAGGACGATCTGAGCGCCTCCAAATTCGGAGCTTCCAAGGGCTTCTCTCCCGACTCAGTCGAGCTGGAAGTTGCATCGGCATGCTTTGGCGACTTCCCAGACCAAGAAGGTGTCCATGGCTGGGCCCCGATGACACTGTGGATCGCGACGGTACTTGGAGACGTATACGCGCTTTGTCCTCTGCTACCGAGCAAGTGGCAGTTGGTTGAGTCGCCCGGCAGCCACACATTCCTCCAAACCCTTACCTCGTCCATCAACATCAACTATGCCGAGCTCTCAGAAGACGAGACATCGCCCAAAGACGAGTTGAAAACATCAGAGAAGCAGGTGTCATGGCTGTCGGACATCTTATACGAGGAGCCTCTCGCAGAGGAGCGGGCGCAGGGTGACACAGTTCAGGTCTTCGCTCGCCCACACAGTGCGCCTGCGGTGCCGTTGCTACAGGGACCTTTCACTATCTCGCCTGAAGTCGATGATTTTGAGCTTAGCGACATGATTGTTTTCTCCCTGAAGACCCTCTCCGAGAGCGAAGAAGAGGAGGCTGCAGAGGGTCTGCCGACCGCTGTCGTGTGCTTGCTCACCGAGACGAGCAAGGTACATGTCTGCTTGGACCTTGAGGGTATCGTTGGGCGATGGCTGCCATCACCGGAAGACGAGATCGACACCACAGAACCAACCGAACACGAGCTGATCATTGCGGAAACAATTACACTGGTGGAAAGCGATGAACCCTCGTTCAACCAGAGCATCACGCCAGATGTGCACACCGACTTCTCATTCTTCGTATCACACGCCAGTGGGGTCTTCTACGTCTCAATGGAGCCCTGGGTCAGGAAGCTGGAGACCGAGCTATCCCAGCCACAGACCGAGGGCTCACCTTTCCGTATCAAGCGCGTCTTGGAATCGGCAAACACCTCCGTGGACCAATACCTACAGCGACGCGTCTCTGGCGATGTGGACGAGCAAGAAATCACCGCAGTCGCCGTTATTGAAGACGGGAACGTCGGTTACCTTCTTCTCACCACAGTTGACGGTGAACCACAAGCTGCTCTGCTCGATGCACCTGAAGAGGGACTCCCTACCCAAGAGGAAATTGCCGAATACATGGCAATCACTGGCCCTAACAAGGAAGTGCGTCAAGCTTGGCAGCCACCCAAAGAACTCTACGAGCCGTTCGATCTTTACAATTCTATCAACATCCCCGCACGGCATAGAGGTGCTCTCAAGGATGAGATTAGGCTATCTCCTGCGAACCTGGGGCTTCTTATGGATGTTCATCGCGTACTCTCTGCGCAGACTTCCAAACTCCAACTCGCCGTATCCGATCTGTTCAACCGCGCGACGCGTCTGCAGGAAGAGTTCAGGGATCAAATCTATAGAACATCTGGGATCGCAGCGAACATTGACAGTGTCACCGGCAATGACCAACTCGGCTCAGACAACGGATCAACATACGGCAGCGCCAACATTGACGAGCGTTTGGAGAAGGTCACCGCTCGGCAAGATCAGATCAACGCGCGTTACGAAGCTCTTCGACGAAAGATGGTCAGCATCGGCTCCAGTGAACTCAGCGAAAAGGAGAGCAACTGGATCGAAGAGTTGCAAACTATGGACAGCGCCATTGACCCTGCGAGCGAAACCTTGACCGACACTGTTGATGGCAGCGAACGCCCGGCATGGCAGCGTCTGAACAGGCTCAAGGAGGTACAGAAGGAGCAAGCGCAACAGATTGAAGCGGCTATGAGGAATGCCAAACAGGCAGGAGAACATGAGCAAGCAAGAGGCACCGGTGTCAAAGTACCAAGCTACTCGAGGAAAGCAGAGAACGAGCAGGTGCAGGAGCTCATACAGCGGAATAGTATGCTAGTTGAGGCTGCTACGGATAAGTTGCGGAACTTGGGAGTCAATATCCCTGTGGAAAGTGGTATTTAGATGTGCGATGCGACTTGAGGCAGATTGCGAAGAGTTTGTCCCATGTCGAGTTGATGAGTTGGTTGAATTAGAGCATTTTAGGATGATGGTCCCGCTGTTTGGGCACGAATATCAATGTTGCAATGTTTCTATCAGCTAACACGACCTTCTCCAAGATGTGACGAGCACTGAGCCTGTACGTAGCGAGTCGCGAGCGAGGATGATACGGATGATCTACGAAGACCGAAAACAACGACAAGCCACCCAAGCTCCACACACTCATAATAAGCCTCCCAGCCATACTACCACATACCACTCAACTCTACGCCCCACCACGCTGCCTTCGCGCAGCAGCCAACTCCTCGTCAAACAAGTCATCCTCCGACTTCCCCGGCAACTGCCCCTCTATCCACTGCCTCTGCCTCTCCGCACCCATAACGCCAAAAACCAACTCCCTCCCACTTTCTTCTTTCGTTCTCGTGTACAACTCCGTCGTCACCTCCACTAGAAGAGGAACGATGTCTGGTATCACGAAAGGGTCTATGCCGCGTAGGTCCAACAGAACATTCTCGATGTGATGTCGCCCTGGCATGCAAAAAAATGCATCCCCCCACGCCTGAGCGAGCTCATTCCAGTCTTCTGGCGTGGGCTCATATTCGGGGAAGTCGTTAGGGAGGATTTTGATGCGCAGGTGGGTGATGTATTTGACCGGCAAGGAGATATCTGACATGGAAAGCTTCGCGCCAGGCGGGTTTTCGGGCAGGGTGAGGGTAAGGGTTTGTGTCCTGGGTGGTAGGTTGGAGAGCTGCTCGCCTAGCTCTGCTAAGGTTTGGGGATTGTTGATGCGGAGAGAGACGTGGAGGGGCTCTCTGTGCCGATCGAAAGGAGCCTTTTCTTCTCGTTGGATTTGCTTCGTGATGAGGGTTATTGTCGTTTCTTGATCTTGCCAGCGATCTGGTGATATATGGAGGTGGTCGAAATCCTCGGGAAGTAGGTCTAGGATTAGATTGAATGGCATTTTGAGGGATGATTGTCGTGTCGGTGATGATGTGTTGATGCGTTGGGTGGAGAGGTTGTGTAAACGTTGTTGGGTGATTCCAAGGTTGGCAAATTTGTAGAGATAGGTGATTAGGGAGACTGCAGGTGATGGAAAAACTGAGAAACGAATGTATTGATAAACCAGTTCTCAATTACTTTTTCAACAGTGGCAATTCGATCAGTCCAATAGAGGATCTATCACCCCCAGCATTACAGCTAGATGTCCTCCCCACATCGTCGGCTCGGCTAACCTAATCAAGATAGCGTCTTCGGCTAACCTCCCAGAGCCTCATTGCATATCCCATACAACACCCTACCCTCACCAAACTTCATATTCCAATACCCAACATCCAAAATGTCTTCCAAACCAGCCGTCATATCCGTCATCGGCTCCCTTAATGTCGACCTTGTAACCCGTACAGCCCGCGTCCCCGTCGGCGGCGAAACGCTAACCAGTGAATCCTTCAACATTGGCTGGGGCGGGAAAGGCGCAAACCAGGCCGTCGCATGTGCCCGCCTCTCTCGCACCAAAGCGCAAGCTTCTTCGTCCCAGGACTCCGACGTCGAAGTCAGGATGGTGGGTGCAGTGGGTGACGACGAGTTCCACGAGGGGTTCTTGAAAGCTCTACGGGAAGATGGATTGTCGACGGAGAAAGTGCAGATTCTCAAGGGGAAGAAGACGGGTGTTGCGGTCATTATCGTCGAGACGGGGTCCGGAGAGAACAGGATTATGTTTTGTCCCGGTGCTAATGGCGATGTTGAGGTGCAGGATCTTGTGGATGAGGATGTGGGGGTTGCGCTTTTCCAGTTGGAACTGCCACTGCAGGTCGTGCTGCATAATATGAAGACGGCGAGGGAAAAGGGCGTTGAGACTATTATTAATCCTGCGCCTGCGGTGCCGTTGCCGGATGAAGCGTATCATGGGCTGGGTCATCTTATCGTTAATGAGACGGAAGCGATGATTTTATCGGGGATTGAGAAGCCGACTTCGTGGGATGAGGTTGCTGCTGTGTTTATTGCGAGGGGGGTTAAGAATGTCATTATTACGCTTGGTGGCGAGGTAAGCTTTCACTCGATTTGCAATCTGACTCGTACTTACTCGGGTGTTCAGGGCGTGTTCTACAAGACGGCAAAGCAACAGGAGTCATCTCAGCAAGGTCATGTTGTACCAGCACGACAAGTCAAAGTCGTTGATACAACAGCCGCAGGCGACACGTTTGCGGGCGCCTACACGGTTGCCGTTGCGCGTTGGAAAGCAATGTCAAGGGGAGCAGACTTCGACCTTGATGCTGCAATTGCGCATGCTAACAGAGCGGCGTCAATGACAGTTCAAAAAGCAGGTGCGCAATCGAGTATACCATGGGCGGATGAAGTACCAGAGTCATAATTTACGACAAGATGAGCGACAAGCCAACATATACGACTCCCACGTAGATGCAGAGCAATCCACCAGCTACTTGTCACTCTACTTGGAACACTGGAATGATGAATGTTCAACACCCTGATGCCCTCCCCTCCCACATCCTCCTCATTCCCCCAACATAAACCCCCTCGTTCCCCACAAAATGCCCACAATGCGGCGTCCCTTCAAACACCACCTCTCCCACATCCCAACCCATCTCCCTCGCCATTTCCTTATGCGCAACAACATCCTCCCAGTCCGTCATCCGATCAGCTTTACTATACAAATAACACACCCTCCTCTTCTTCCCCTTCTCCGCCCCAGAAACGAACTCCTCATCCAACAGCGTCCGACGAACCAGTACCTCAGGGTGCTCGTACCGTCCCAACGCCACACTCGCCCGCAAGATGATCAGGATACCGTGGACGAAAACGTAGCCCGCGGAGCGGATGGGGCCTGGAGGCAGGGAGAGAATCATGGCGTTGTAGGATTTCCAGTAGTATCCCGCTGCGGGTCCGGAGTCCATGATGATACCGGTGATGGGTAAGGGTGTGGAGGTCTGGGTATGAAGGGCGAGGAGGAGGGCTGTTGCAGAGATGGGTCCGCCATTCGAGAAGGTGTGGATGAGGATCTTGGGGGTTGGCTGCGTTTTGGTGGTGTTTGCTGTTGGAGATGAAGGGACGTTGGTAGGTGCTGTGGAAGTGCAGTCACTCAGTACAGAGCGCACGACTTCGACGGCTGGTATGATGGCTTTGTGTTGTCCTGGGTAGGAGCTTGTGACTGATGTTACGTCGCTTTGGATGAGTAGGATTTTGGCATTGGGGGCGATGGTAAGGTAGGCTGCAATGTATTTGTCGATATGCTTTCGGGCGGCGCCGAGCCATGTGCATAGGATGATGAGTTCGCCAGTGGTGTGTGATGGTGGGGTATAGAGAGATATCCGCGGTCCGAGTTTAGAGAAGGATAGGGACGGTGATGTGGGTGTAGGATATGTTGCTAATAACATGATGGATGGGTTAAAGTCAGCGAGATGGTTGGTGTTTCTGTCACAATGACTGCTCTCACTGATCAATTTAAACTGGGGTGCAAGAAGATTTCCTGAACTTGATTGTAGACATATGACTTTATACCGTTACGCGCGTAACGCGTTCACTAATCCGGCTTATCATCCGAGGCTTGAGAAGCGTGTCTTGGTTCTTTGGAAGAAAAGCTGGTGCCTTACATGTAAGCCGTCATACAAGGAACGTGCATAATCGAGGCGTACCATCAAGCGGCCACTAGTCAGGTTGGGCTGACCTTGCGAGGTATCAAGAAGATGTAATTGGTCCATGCGCCCTTACATCAACCCAAAATCGAAGTCGTCCATAGGCAGCGGCTCCACCATGCTGAGTTCTCCAAACTCGCTACTAACTTCTTCGGCATCATAGTCGAAGTCGTCAAACTCGTCATCATGCTCGTTATCAATACTCTTGTCCTTAGCAGTATCACTGCCTTCCAAGACAAGAACCTCGGTAACTGCGACTTCGGTCCCTTTCTTCTGCAGCCGGACAGCCGAGTTCTCGGGGCTTGATAGATCGTGTGGTTCTGGGAACGATCTCGTAGTGGTATCAGGAAAGCCCTTGGATTCTTCCATAGGTGTTTTATGCAGAGCCGGGGTGGATGATTTGACGTTCGAAGGGGGGGGCTGAGTTGCGGATACACCAGTGGAGGTGAAGGAAAGACCCGATAGATCGCTGTTGGACGCTGGAGCTTTGGTCGGCTCTGGCTCTGTAAGATCTATCAGAGAGTTCGAAGAGTCGTGAGCCGCAGCAACCGGTCGACTTCGGGGCTGAGGCCTGGCGACAGGCTCCTTTGTTTGCTCAGTAGTTGCCTTACGCTTAGCCTCCTTTTGAGCCTGTTTCTTTCGCCTTTCCGCCTCTTCGAGAGCGCGTTCTTGCTCAGCTACCTTGTTGAAGTCGACATCGCCGAGGCCGATTTTGACCAGTATCGTGCCGACCAAGTATCGATACTGGTCGTGGCCACCGACAAGCTTGCTTACATCGAAATTCTCCACGCCATGGACATTTTCGATCTTTTGTAGACCAGCGACACCTACCTGAAGCTTGGCAGATCGATAGAGGAAGCCGAGTACATAATCTTCCGTACTGTGAACATTGACAACGCGTCCCGCAACGACTGACCGTATTTGCATCCAACGCTTGCTGTTTGCAGGGGCAGGAGTGCCCATAAGAACAGCAGACTCAACAAGACCGAACGCGTGTTGTTCCGCAAGCTCGATCAGACACGCGTATACGACACGCGCACCTACTGAATAACCTGTAAGCGTGACAGGTCGCTTCCCTTGTACACCATCGATGAGAGCATGCGCAAGAACCTTGCCAGCCTTGTCGGCTCGTGCGAGTGCAACAAGAAAGGGGTTGTCCAAGACACTGGCAGCTTTGACAAGACCAAGAGGCCACAGACCTGCGTACAAAGCGCCAAGAAGCGTGCGACTGACAACAGTGTAGGTGACGCCGTCGAAGGCATATCCAAAGAGTACGTCATTGAGGGAGTTGCCGAGACGCAGCATGGCATCAAGCTCGAAACGCAAAGCGAATGGCTCAGTTGTACCGGAGTCGACCACCTCCCAAGGCTTGCTGACGTCGGATGGGGAGCTTAGCCAGCCACTGACACCAATGGATACGCGCAATCGATGCTGTTCACGTTTCTGTGGGTCACGCGCGTCTTGCTCATCAGCCCAGTCGAGCTCGCGTTGATTCGTCGGTCGATCGGGATCTGGCATAGTTAGCTTCAAGCAAGACTTAATCTCTGCTTGACATACCCTGAACTGGGAGAAATTCGAAATCTTGAACCTCTTTTGCATACTGATCCATGAGACGCCCTGTCATCTTCGCGCCGTAGGCTCCAAACAGTGATCCAACGAGCACCGAGCTGCCCGCCAATGCACCAAGATATGTTGAAACGACTCCCAGGCCTAGTCCGCCCATGACAGTACCCAAACCTGCGGCTAGCAGAGGCGCAGCAAGACCGCCAGTAACACCAATCAGGACCGCACCGCCCACGGTCGCGAGACCAACCTTCCAACGGCGTGACACAGCATCATTTGACGCTTGGTTCTTGGCTGTCGCTTCGGCGTCCATCTGAGAGGCAGCCGTGGCTAGCAGACCTTGTGCAATCGACTTCTCATGCTCGCCCAGCAAATCAGCCTCTAGTTTAAGACTGCTTGCCAGACGTAGCAATAAGATGCGCGAGTATGCCGAGTATTGCTCCAAGCTCAGTAGGAGCAGCAGGAGGCAGTGTAAAACCAGCACACGCTTATCTTCCTCAAGAGCTAGGAGCCTAGTCTCGATCACCTTATAGTGTCCATGTCTTGTGTTCTTGGATCGTGTGGGAGCCGCGTTTGCGAAGGGATCGAGGTCGTCGAAATCGATGAGCGAAGAGATGCCCTGGTTTTGCCTGTCGGCTTGGTCCAGTATGTGCTTCCGCTTTACTTTCGCCTGCCGGACAGTCTCACCCCGTACAGAGAGGACGTCGCATATTCGATGCATGACACTTGCCCGCCATTTATCGAAGAATGTCAAGGCGCTTCGTCGCAAAGCCTGCATTTGTGTAGACTCATGTTCTTGTGATGTTTGCCTGGTAGGAGGTGCTGGTTTCGTGGTCTGTCTCGGCCGGTCGAAGCTCATGAGATCTGGTGCCTGATTTCCAGGCTTGGGTGCGGGCGACCGGGTCGCAATGGAGGGTTTCGGTTCGGGATTGTCGTATGGCTCGAAGGTGGCCGTGAGGTCGTTTCGCATGGCATCGATGCTCAGAAGGACGAGGAGTGCCAGTTCGACGCGTAGCGCGGGTGTCTCGAGGACCGAGGTGAGCGAGGCCCCCTCATCTTTGCTTGCTCTTTCTGGAGCATTACCAGATATTGCACTGGCAAAGTTGGAAAACATACCGGCCCAGTAGAGTGACAAAGACCAGAAGACGAAAGAGTACTTCCAGTAGGGTCGCTTACACGGGACGGGGCATCGTTAACCACGCCACTTTGATTGACAGGGCGCCTGAGTCGCAGAATCCGGCCCCCATCAGGTACCACCATCCTTCAGATTGCGCTTAGCGCGAAGATAAACATAGATCGCAGTGCTCGTCAGGTGTGACTGCGCGAGAACGAGAGGCGTACGTGTTGTTGTTTTGATGGCAATGTGACGAAATGTTCGTGGTCATAGGCGCGACGCGGCGTCACTGGATCTCGCGACAGCTGGTGGGATGGCTCGCTCCACTTTGCCGGCCCGCGCCTAGCGTGACTCGCTCACGTGGATGCCATTGGATGTGCAAGTTTGTCCATCACCCACGTCGCCAATGGCACCTGCGACGGTAGTTTACTGCAAGCTGTTATATCTACTTTATGTGTGTACCCGTGGCTTGCTAGACGCCAATGGCTCGACCATTCTACTCCTACATCCACTGTACACTTTATGCACACGACCATCCACTCCAGTCTCTGTCGATACGATGGCTCTTTGGGGTTTGAAGGTACATTCTCGCAAATAACGTTCTGAACATGTCATTTGTCTGTCTGGACCAGTACTAGCTGTGCGCGGCAATAGTGTCAATGGCATTTAGTTGATCAAATGTGAATAAGATGTTGTGAGCCACATAGTAATTCGAACAGTTCGTTGAATCCTGTAGGCACTCGAGGTTTTTCCTCATGTGGTATAATTAGTCATCAGCTCACTTGCTCCTCTTGTAGATCTTCTGGAGGAAAACCTCGAAGACGACCTTCTTCAAGCCTTCGCTCTCATCAACCTTGTCGATCTTCGCCCTCAGCTCGGTAACGCGCTCCTCTTCCCACTGCTCGTAGAACTCCTTCAGCTTAAGCTCATGGTACAGCTCCTTGACCTTGGCCTCCTTCTGCGAGTCCTTCTGACCGTAGTTCTCCTCTAGCACCTTTCGTTGCTCGGGAGTGACCTTCTTCAGGGCCTGGTTGATCAGCCATGAGCACTTGTTGTCCATGATGTCGGTGCCAATCTTGCCGAGAACAGTGGGGTCAGCAAATGCATCGAGGTAGTCGTCTTGTGCTTGGAAGTATTCGCCCATGGGGATGAGAATGTCTTCTGCGGTCTGGAGGTTCTTTGGTGTAGCTGCGCCGGCATAGTAGAGTGCCAGTGCGACTGGGAGGTAGAAAGAGTAATAGGCAGTCTTGTAGATGACAATGAAGGTGAACTTGTCGAGACTGAAGTTGTCAAGGTTGACATCGTCTTCGGGGGCAGTCAACAGATCACACAATTGACCGCATTCGGTCTGGAATGTGACCTCGTGGAACAACTCCATCATGTCGACGTAGCTCTTCTCCTGACGGAAATGCTTCTTGAGAAGCACGTAAATGGCCGACTCCAGCATAAAGGCATCGTTGATGGCGATCATGCCGACCTTGGGTGCAAGGTACCAGCAGGGATTGCCACGACGGGTCTTTGAAGAGTCCATGATATCGTCCGAAACCAGGAAGAAAGCCTGGAGGAGTTCGATCATCCATCCGAGCAGGGCAGCACGAAAGTACTCTTCTGATGATGGGTCAAGAGACTTGTTCTGCAGAATTGAAGTGGTGTCGATAACAGACATGCCACGGTTACATTTTCCGCCAACAGTGTTGTAGTCCAGTGACTATGGGATATGGTGAGCGAGCTGGACCCTGACTGCGTTGCTCGGGATATATCTACCTTGGTGAACCAATCAAGAGACTGCTGGGGCAGCTTGTATGATTTGCAGTGTTCCTGCAAGTCGGCCACAATGCGCGGCCATACGCTCTCGAATTCTTTCAGTGTGGTCGGCATCTTAAACGCAATGAATTGGGTATCTCTGGACAGCAGTGCTCAAGATAGAGGGGCAGTAGCAGATGTAGGGGTGCGGGCGGTGAAGGGGCTAATTTCCGCGGCGCAGCGGCGCAACCTTTAACCGCTCGCCGGGCCATTGTTTGTGCCCCACCCTACCACGACAGGAAGCTCCCCATCAACACGCGCATCGGCGGCAGCGACATCACGCGATAGAGCCCTGAACCATGATCTGAAGCGCGCAAATAGTAATCTCTTCCTGATAGCGACGCGATGGGAACTCTATCGCCGGCCGACGAGGCCCAACTCAAGGCCCAGCTCCAGGACGCCGTCATCGGCTGCACAGAGCGCTGTCTCTATCACTCGGCGAAATGGTGAGTACCAATGGTTACGTAGACTGACTTTTGCATGCTGATATTGACAAGGGCCGCAGAATTACTCGATTCGCTCCCATCGGCCGATGACGAAGGCTCGGACACCGACGTCGACTCCCCCATGTCGGATGCGCAACCGCCGCAGACACCCAATCTCGTACGCAAAGACCCCATCGAAGCACGCCTAGAAGCACGTGAGACGCACAAGTTCCTCCTCGCCAAGACATATTTCGACTGCCGCGAATATGATCGATGCGCCGCCGTCTTCCTGCCTGGCCCTCTACCCAAGGGCGCCTCACAGGCACCTGCTACGCCTACAGCAAAGGCGAAGCAGGGAGCCAAGGGAAAGGCGAAGATGGTCACGCCGTCCAAGTCCAAGCTATCCAACGATACAATGAAGGGCATTAGTCAGAAGGCGCTGTTCCTAGCCCTCTATGCCAAATACATCGCTGGGGAGAAGCGCATGAACGAGGACAGCGAGATGATTCTCGGCCCTCAAGATGGAGGCGTCACCTTGAACAAGGAGCTGCCCACAGTATCTGCCGTTCTTGAAGAGTGGTTCAAAGACCTGCCCAACAGCGGGCGGCAACCACAGGGCTGGCTGGAGTACCTATACGGCATGGTTCTGGCTAAGGGAAAGAACGAGCAGCTTGCCATCGACTACTTGATCAAAAGTGTGCACCAATACACCTACAACTGGGGTGCGTGGCAGGAGCTACAAGCTCTACTGACCACCATGGAAGAGCTCAATGGCATCGTCACACGCCTACCGCAAAACCTCATGACTTTCATCTTCCATGTTACGTCATCTCAGGAGCTCTACGTGGTCAACGAACAGATTCATACTTCGCTGTCGCAAATACTGACCATTTTCCCGTCATCGGCCTTCCTAAAGACCCAACGGGCATTGCTCCACTACCACAACAAAGACTTCGACGATGCCGAACAGATCTTCTCGGACTTGCTCGTATCAGATCCACATCGGGTCGATCATCTCGACAATTACTCCAACATCCTGTATGTCATGGGCATGCGACCCAAGCTTGCCTTCTTGGCACAGCTCGCCACAGCGACCGACAAATTCCGACCGGAGACATGTTGCGTGGTGGGCAACTACTACTCGCTCAAGTCGGAGCATGAGAAAGCCGTCATGTATTTCCGAAGAGCTCTGACTTTAGATCGGACCTTCCTTTCCGCTTGGACGCTTATGGGCCACGAGTTTGTGGAGATGAAGAACACCCACGCCGCTATTGAATCCTACCGGCGCGCCGTCGACGTGAACCGGAAAGACTACCGCGCCTGGTATGGACTTGGTCAGACATACGAGATGCTAGAGATGCACTCGTACGCTCTGTTCTATCACCAACGTGCCGCTGCCCTACGACCCTACGATCCGAAGCTATGGATGGCGGTCGGCCAATGTTTCGGCAAAGTGGGCAAGATCATGAATGGCATTCGATCATACAAGCGCGCGTTAGTCGCAGGCTCCTATTATGATGCTGGTGTCGGAGCGTCTTTCGGGAGCAGTGAAGTTACTGGTCTCGGTGGAGGTATCCTCGATCCCGAGGTACTCTACCAGATCGCCCTGCTGTATGAGAGAATAAACAACATGAACGAATGCGCGGCATACATGGAGCTAGTGCTTGCACAAGAAGAAGGGCCAGACTACGAAGAAGTAGGCTCCGAAGCCGCCGGTGGTGTCGGCGTTACTGCAACGACAAGCAAAGCCCGACTCTGGCTCGCTCGATGGGAGTACATGCGCGGCATGTATCAACGAGCCATGGAGCTAGCAAACGAGCTCTGTCAAGACGGCGTAGAGGTAGAAGATGCGAAAGCACTAGTGAGAGACATCAGAGCGCGCATGGAGCGCGGCGGAGGAGACGCGGAAGATTGATTAGACACAGCGTCTCGAAAGTTTGGGCATTTGCAGGCGTACAGGTATGATACCCAAGCAATACTGGATCGCAACATGTATCATATACATTACTACTTGATAGCGCGTTGCAGGATCTCGATCCATTTCCAGTTCATCATTACATACGTGCTCGGTCCCGTGACGCTGAACGCCTACTTGCCGTACAAATGCGCAGTCCTACCTTCACCCCACCGCGGGTTTCCACCACTGTCCTTCTCCCAGCGCTTATCTTCATCTTCCATTTCCCGCATCCGTGCTCCTCCATCTTTTTTCTTGACCCAGGGTTCATTGTTGCTGTCTTTGCCCTCTGCGCTCGCGATCTTGCGACTGGCTTCTGCTAGAGCGAGGTCTTCGATCTCTCGCATCCGCAGCTCGGCGGTGATATAGTTCAGCGTTCTCTGCATGTCGCGTGCATCGTGGCCGCGGCAGTCTAGGATGTAGAGTTGGTGTGTTATCGAGGCTTGGGCAGAGATGAGAGATGGAGTTGGCGAGAGCCGGATGGTGGTGGGTGCCCAGGGGTGGGGGTGGGTGAAGGCGTTGAGGGTTAGGGAGGTTGACATTGTGCTTGGTAGGTAGTGTTATGGTGCTATGTCGTGCTGTTGTGCTATGCTGTTATAATATGGAGGCAGGCCTATGGTATGGAGCCTGATGTTTGGATCAGGTATGAAACAGTGGTCGAAGGGCGTGGACGAGGGAGAGCGGGGATTGGGTTGAGTAGGTATGTTATTCGCGGAACTGTGAAGGTTCCCTGACGTGACAGGAACACGGGCAACATGCGCGTTGTTCAACGCACAACGTTTCCTCTAGCTGTCTACTGAAAAAGCTTGATTGCTGGTAACTGCGGTCGACAACATGATCGCTGGTAGCTTGTGAACTGTGTATCTTGGCATGTACACCTTATGACGTTTCCCAGATCATTCCGGCAGCCAGCGAACGAGGTATCTTGTCACAACAGGCGTGCGTGGAATCAATTTCGTACTGAGGACCCTCAGTGGTGGTTGTGAATTTTGTACGGTACGAAGTGCATAAAACTCTGTTCCCTCCTTCTGTTCTCACTATTCTACCAGCCCCGACATTACTTCGCCAACGACAGATTGACCAGACGAAGAAACTCACCCTAATTCCACCTCAAATCGATAACACATACGCTCTAATTACCTACCATGTCTTCCTGGGATGCGCGTGGAGGAAGCGGTTGGTGTATGCCCGACCACCCTTGGCCAAAGGCATTTATCGAGAAGCAGAGCTTGGAGTGGCTTCTTGAGGTACACAACAACATTTATCGCGACATACAGAGGGATCCCTTCTATGAGGATAACGCGGCATTACGGGGTTCGGCTAGCATCATTGAAGAGCATCTTAGGGCGCACGGCGCGGTGATGCTCGGAGAAGGCGGAGGGGCTGGAAGTCTCAACATCCAGATGTCAGCGCCAGCGCCAGTCCAAACACAGATGCAAGTTCAGCAGCCGCCTCAGCAAAATGTCATTGTTCATCAGCAAGTACAACAGCCGCCCGCGCAACAGCCCGCACAGCAGAATGTCATCTACCACCAGCAAGTACAACCGCAGCCGCAGCCGCAGCAGAACGTGGTTTACCAGCAACTACAACAACCTCAGGTGCTCAGCATTCCTGCTCCTGTGGCCACACTGACTATGACCTCTACGCCGGTGCAGGGTTTTGTGATTGGGGGGATTGTCTCACCACGCATCGGGTATGTGAGAAGCCCTAGAAGCTTTGGAAGGCGAGGGTTCTTTGATTACGACAGTGATAGTGATAGTTATTAAGGCTAGTTGGTACGGAGGATGATCTTGACTGAAGGCTGGGGGATGATGATGACGATGATGATAGTTTATTGAACATATTCCATAACTGATGATATTGAACAATGCAGATTTTTTACATTCTACAATTATCTTGTTAGTGCTAGTGCAGCTAATGGTTGATGTTGATCGCGAGATTAGAATGTTATCGCTCATGTGCTCGTCCACACGCACATCAGTGTTTAGTAGATAGATTATGCGTCGAGGTTGCCGCGAAACAGATACACTCAGTGAGGTGAGTACAAGTATGTTGTTGATAATCCGACATCTTCGTTCATCATACAGATCATGACACGCCGGCACAGGGAATGTTTCCTTCACAATGATCGCACTCTCTACGTCAAGTTGTGATCGTGATTCTGCATAGCGACACGTTCTGAGGATCACGTTCATACAGCATGCTGGCAATCGAGAGTTGTGCCAAAGCCCTAAATTCAATGTCTGTTTAGAATATAAACCCCCTCGCTAGAACACACACTCTCTCTATCGAACACTACACTTTCTAGTTAATTACAAAGCGCATCTCTATCAACCCTGAGCAAAGCCAACTTGTCCTCTTCGCAACACACGGTATAACCTCTCACAACACCACTTATACATACTCGATATGTTCCGATCATCGCGCGGACCTGACCCCTTTCTGCACACACATCCTTGGGCGTACCATCACTTGAACCCTCTCTCAGATGATGAGCTCGTCAGTCTTCTCAATGCCATCGCCGACTCAATGTCTGGCAATATCTTTGCAGACCTCTTAAGGCCTAGCTGGGAGGAGACTAAGAACAGGATTTTGTGCATCATTGAACAAAGGGGTAACAATGCCATGGTTATATTCCCAGGCTCAAGCTTTAGAAGCTTTGGCACGTTCCCACGCATGTCGTCATCTCTCTCGATCACACAGACAGCGCCAATGCCAAATGTTACCATCCAGTCCATTCCAGTTCCACAGCAAAACGTCACCTTCCAGCCCGGTTTTGTTCCACAGCAAAACATCACCTTTGCATCAGCTCCAGCCCCAGCTCCTCTGCCACCTCCGGCCGCGGTGACAGTTCATCATGTTGCATTATATGGCCCATATGGCAATGTCATCGGAAGCCGACCCGAGACGGAGAAAGAGAAGGACGACAGAGAATATGCGGCTTGGAAGGCGGAGCATGGAGCCAAGTAGGAGGCGTCAGGTTGTGTTGATTAGACGAGGAAAGCGCCTAGCTTAGTAGTTGAGTAGGATGAGCATGATGAAGTCGGAACTTGTTGCGCATACGGAGATGTTGAAGAACTGTAGCTTGATCATATGAACACGAAATTGATTCTAGGAAAAGCGTGTCTGATGTGACCGATAAACTGTGACACTGTTGTGCGGGTTCAGGCTGCTGTGGATCAACACGCTGTAGCGCTGTCGAGTGACGAGCACTTACTTGCGCTGACATCGCCAGAACTGTTTACCATACAAAGCTGCTGTACTAGAGAAACAAAGTACTAGATTCATACCTAGACGTGCTTGTTGCTATGATTATGGACGACTGTGGTGATGTGCGAGTGGACCTCGGGTTGCTTAGTAATGATGACATCATTGGCTATTGATCCTTCCGCGGTCTCAATTATGGGAAGGCTGCAAGTTCCTACACATCACGCTGATCTCACTCTGCCTTTGCTATCAACGAATGTGAATCTTTCGGGTTGATTATACTTCACCACATTTTTTCCAAGGTTGGGCGTGGCCCAAGAAGCCTGGTGCGTTACAGTGTCCACGATGTTTGCGGTAAACACGTACGAGGATGATCGAATCTTCACAGGCCGATGCTTGACATGCGTAACTATTGGCATGTGGTGGGTATTGGAAGCCGCCCTTGGAATTCCATAATTAAGCATCACACGAAGAGCACACCCGCACGCAATACAAAGCCGTCCTTTTCTATGCGCATGCCCTCACCATCGTACTTCCTGCATTTCTATCTTTCATCATCGTACTCACATCAGTATCATATTCCGAATTAGCTTTTCAGCTTGCGACATGTTTACCCTCCGTATTTCAGGCCGATTTCGCCGTTCTGTGCTGACTCGCCGGCACCCGATTTCAAAATTTGCGTTGGGTGCTTACCCTGACGAGGAACTGGTCATGGCTTTTCATATCCTACTGGAAGAGATAGAAGTCCTACGACTGGAAGGCTTCTCGTTAGTGGCTGACGATATGATGATCACCGCTCAAAACATCGTGGATTTGGTGTTCTCAAGTCATGGCGGATGGGCTTTCCTCCAGCTTGGACAGCACCAGCAGTCCTTCCTTCAGCAGATGCAGCAGAATTACTCTTTCAACTTGCCCCAACCAAACTTCTTCATGAATCAGCAGATACCACCACCAGCGATGATTGGCCAGGCCCCCACCCAGAATGTTGTAGTGCACTCGCATATAGCTTCAGCTCCCACCCAGAACGTTGTAGTGCACTCGCATGGAGCCCCAGCGCCCGCTCAAATCCAAGGGTCCTCCGAACAAGACAAAAACGAGCTCTATCTCGACCGACTCAACAAAGACAACAACCGCAACGAGAAGATGAAGAACAGATACGAGGATGAACTAGCAGTGAAGGAGCGAGCCAGGTTGGAAGCTGAAGCGAAGAAGACGATTGAGGAAGCGGAGGAGAAGGCTCGTAAGTTCAAGGAGGCCGAGGAAAGATTCGAAAGGAACAAGATTGAAAACAATCTGAAAGAAGACACGATACTGCGCATTGACGAAGCGAAGAGCAGACAAGACGAGCTGGATCGTAAGACGCGTGAGATGACGGAGAGGACAGAGCAGGAAAAGATTGATGCTGCACGAAGGTTTCAGCAAACACGTCAGGAAGCAGCCGCGAAAAGGGAGCAGCAGAGGCGAGATGAGGAGATGCGAGATCAAGAGAGGCGGGATCAGGAGAGGCGGGATCAGGAGAGGCGGGATCAGGAGAGGCGGGGTCAGGAGAGGCGGGATCAGGAGAGGCGGGATCAGGAGAGGCAGCGACAGCTCGATGCGTCCAGAAACCGAACAAATGACTTAAATAGTCCATCATTCAACCAGCAGCGCATGCTACCGGAACGCGAAAGAACACGAAGGTCCTCTCCGATTCCACAAAATCAACTCGTTTCTGACGATGACGATGACGACTCCGATAGCGACGATGAAAAGCGGAAAGATCCGTACGAACTTATCGGGCTGCCCGACAGAGGGCGCACACCAGCCAAAGACATCGAAACTACCCAACGAGTGCTGAACAAGATTCATCAGAAGACTCTCAATACTGCGACGTCAGACTCGAAGAGACAGCATGCTGAGAAACGTATGGTCGAGATCAAGTGGGCAGCGGCCATTCTCTTGGATGACATGAACAAGAGGGCTTATGATGAGGCTGGTGCTATATTTCCTCATGAGCAGCAGGCTTGGAGGAAGAAGAGTAAGTGAACCTTCCCGAATGAATGAGAGAAAGACTAATCAACACGATTGTAGATGGTATTAGTGGTGCTGGCGGTGGGAGGTAAATCTCTGGGTAGAGTTCTACAAGTTTTCCTTCTTTCCTGAGATAGCGATAGTCATGTTCCGTTAGTATCTGAATCATTTCATCTGTAACATCACTACGTAAATACTAATGCGCATCATGAGCAATGACAAAAGGTTTGCTTGACAATTTAGACGAAGCTGGTTGTCTTCGCCAACACCACAGCAAATATGATGATTCTTACGCGAATGACTATGACAGCCAACGAAACCCGGCTGTTCCTATCAAGTGGTAACTGGCGTAAAGATGTTGATAGTCTTCGTGTTGACAGCACTATAGTTTGTAACCAGCAAAATGGAAGGCTTTTCATCATTCCAAGCTCAGAATAAAGATAGACGGCCCATGCTTCTGGAACTATAACTGCCTCATGCTGCACGGCATTCCTGTTTCATTTCCTCTAAATCTCACCTAGGTTTCTTACAACATCATAATGTATCACATCGACATGAACAGCCCGCCAACTGCAAGTATTCGGGCAGATCCCGAGAGCCCTGCATTACCTTCCGCTGCACTGGGCGCAACTCGCGGGGCTCGACAGAATGCGTACGAAGCAGAGCCACTGCAAGATTCTGATCACGAGAGGGTCATCATTGCGTCTTGGGGTCGATACCAGACATTGAATCAGATGCGCGCTTCGCCATACTACGTCTGCATCCGACTACCCATATCCTCAGGCACCATGTTCGCACCTCCTCTGTTCCCAGAGCCTTCACCAAGTCGTGAAAATGCTATGGTAAGACCATGTCCAGCCAGCTTTGAGAGCCGCGATATACATGCTGATCAAGAACAGCCGGAACAGTATGTGACCCTCCACGCTGTTCATCCGGTACCAACGCGATACCTACGGAGCCTCGCGCAAGATCAGTTGGAGTTCCTCTTCGGCTACTGGACTGAGAAGAGGATTCAGCCTGATGGTGAGCTCGCTAGACGGATGTGTGAGACGGTGGAGGCTATTGGACAGATCATGCACGAGGGGGAGGATGTATTCATGTGACTGTATGGGCTATGTTAGGTATGGTTTAAGTGTCCTGAATAAGTCGGTTTTGTATCGGCGTTGTCATGTACCGTATGTTCCTAGTCGAGGATTCCCTTGCAAAATTCACCATGGGTCTCAACCGCCCCATGATGCGTTTTCCACTTCTCTTGATGTCGTTCGTTAGACGAACTATATGCAGCGACGAACTTGGAAGGCCATGCTCTCGGCTTACGTATTACTAGGAAGTGAAGTCCTGTTATGGAAAGTTCAGATCGACTGACGCTGCTCCCTTCGTTGAGCAGTAGTATTGCGAGTGGCGTTGGAAATGAGCGTGATAGATCTTGGTTTGGTTTGCTGAAGTGATTAGTACCAAGCTCGTGTTGTCAAAGCCAGCAGATATGGCGACCGAGTATCTGTCGAGGTAGCGTTCGTTGACTCGATCTAGATCAGGAACGAATCGTGCAAAGCCAGCAAAGTAGTGGCGGCCAACAAGCTCTCACGAACACTTGGATTGCATTGTGAGCTGTTGCCAACGGCGAATCGGTAGCAGAAGATCTATAAAGTCAGTAGGAAGGTAACGTCTTGCTCAACACAACCAGCATCCTCAATACTTCTTTGCACCAAGACTCATTACCATACTGCGAAGCGCATCAAAGCACTGACATCACCACAAGTCCAAACACCATTACTACAACATCTTACAATATGAGCAACCCAAGCATTACACCCATGCCGACTCCCGGCCCCGAAACTCTCGCGCAGCCCTCGACTGCACGCCCCCTAGTCGAACTTCCTTCCCGCCCTTCCGCGCGTGGTGCATCAAGTGGAGTTGCTTCGGGCACCGCGCCTGGCATGATCGCGCCCACTCGCCCCATGCAACTGCGGCAGTTTACCCCCAAAGACTTTGAGGAGGTCGTCACCTTCTGGAGCGCATATACCACCCGCGATCTCGTCGTCGAGTCTCCCTTCTACACCAAGACAACCATCATAGTCGATCCTCGCGCAAAGGCCCAGTTCCCCGAGAAGAGCGAGATCACCGAGCGAGTTGTGCACGCCGTACACCCGATTCCCCGCAAGCAGCTTCAGAACCTGGGACCAGTATGCCTTCACAACCTAGGCGCGGGATTAGATGAGGAGCGATGGGATGTCAACAGGTCTCCTGAGTTCAACGATCGCGTGCAGGAAACTCTGGCTCGTATTGACGACGCGTTGGAGTTCATTTTCCGTGTTCATTTGCCGGGTACCCGGATTTTCAGCGGAAGACAGCCTTCTGTGTTGTAAGTTTTAGTGAGGATAAAGATGGAAATTAGTGGGGGGAAACCAGCAAAAGTGCTTGCTGCTTCTGCACAACAGCTCGATTGGCGGTGTCATGTACTTGATAACAGATAGTTCTAGTGCACAAGCTGCAATCAATGAAATATGGCTCAATTGAGCTCTCAAGGCCTAAGTTTCGTGAGGACATTGCCCGGACTGCTGTGATTGTTCGCGGAAAGTGTCTACCCAGTGCATGCCACGCGCGTCGTTGCGCGCCGGCACCGGGAGACCGGAAGTACTGGGTACGATCGCGAAATGTAGTATTTCAGTAGATGGGTCGGGATTTGCGGGAAAGGGCACCAGTAGATGTAGGCATCGTGTCTGACGTGATGGTACATACCTAGGTAGTCTCGATAGACCGAGCAGTCGCGTCGACGCGTCACAGACGCGATCGTTCCGAGCCTCGGTCCGCTGCTAGCGCATGCCATCGCAGGGGCCACTACCTCAGTCTTGTGCGCGAGTTGATGCGAAAACTATGAATATGTGTAGGTAGAAATCGGTATCTAAACTATCCCCACCATAAACCCGAGACGCCTTATCCTTATTGCCTGTACCAAAACACCCATCGCTGATGCATACCCCCAAAACCCAGAACCCATCCCAGTCCATCCCATACTATTCCACCCATATACGCCATTCACAAATTGCCGATAACAACCATAAATCTCAATTTGCCATCCGTCTTCTTGCTTGCAGCTGGGTTGGCACCAGCCAGGGTATCATCTCCGCCGTTATTGATCGTGATTTCATCCAGCATCAAAGTGCTGCTCTTCCATCCCCAGCTCTGACTGAAGTTAAAGCGGTCAGGCGCGCTTTCGTAGATACTGAGCATCCTTCCGCCCTTGGAGGGGCTGTAGATCTTGAAGTAGGTTTTGATTGTGGGTCGGCCGTCGACATAGGGAGGGAGTGCGGGTATAACGGCTCGGGTTTTGCGTTGGACTCTAGAGGCGAGAGAGGGGTTGATGTAGGCGGCGGCGTCTGACTCGTCGTCGTCATCGGATGGGTCTGAGTCATGTTCGGATGGGGAGTAGGGAGCGTTAGCGAAGGAGGGAGAGTCTATGGTATCACCGTCTTGGGGTGGTGAAGAGGCCAGGTTTTGGAAGCCCCATTGTGGAATACCGCGAGTTGGTAGACGACTGCGATGGCGGCCAAGACTACCGCTAGAGAAGAGTGGGTTGCGCAGTCCCAGAGAGCCGAGAGCAGGGTCGGGGTCTCCACCACTGCCAGAGGTGTCCTCTTCTGCAGCAGGATCCATGAACGGAACTCGGGTGCTGCGCCGCCGGTCGCGTCGGTCACTACGCATGAGCATCTCGCGCTCTAGCTGGCCGATACGTTCATCAACCGAGCCGTTGTTCTGTTGGCTGAGACCACTGACATGTCCAGTCTCATCTACCTCTCGCTCCTTGGCACGGTGGAGGTAAACGCCCAACTGGATGTTTTTGGCAGAGCGAACTTTCTGGATGTAGATGTTCCACAAAGAGCCTGCGTACGATACCGTCCTCGAATAGACGCGCTTCTTCTCTTTGAGGAATCGTGGATTAGGAAACTCAGCCGAGAAGCGGAATGGAGGAAACTCGGTATAAGCGATTGGCTTTGGCTGACCAGCGTTGCCGCCACCAGCAGAGATTGGGCGTTGGGCAAAGTCCATGCGAGTATTTGGGTTCGTCAATGTCGACGGGGTAGAGGCAAAGTCGGTGGCCCACTGCGCATCCTCTGGCTGTATCGTGGCTGATAGGCGTGAAGCATGGCGCTGGAAAGAGTTGGACGTCGTAACCACGGGATCTGCGCCGTTGCCCAAGACGATGTTGCAGTCCGAACTTGGGATCCAAAACTTCCGTGGCTTGCCATTGCCGTCCCAACTATCCGACTCGATGTCGCCTTCGTCGATAGGATCTGCCATCTCTTTTTGCTTTCCTTTGTTAGTGAGCTCGCTCCCAGTCTTCGTCGCCACGTTCGCTTCTTCGGGGTCTGGAGTTGATTGACATAGACCCAGCTCCTGAGCAGACTCATCGGTGTTGAGCACCCTCTGGCGAAGGGCCAGTTGCTGCCATAGCGCATTGGAGATGACCCTTTCGGGCATCACTGGTAGGCCAAACACGTCGCGAGCGTTCCTGATAAACTCAAGCTGCTCGTATTCCATGTGAATGTAGTGAATGCCTTCGTCTAGCAACACGAGTATGCGCTCAATGTCGGGCAAAGTGTAGAGAGCAAGCCAGTCAGCCTGAGCGTCGGAGGAGGAATGCGCCGTTGTCAGAGCGTTCTGGCGATAAACACCGTCGAAGCGAACTGCCATGAGACGAAGAGAGTTGGGTGCTTGTGGGATGGGCCTCTGTCCTCGCTGGATAAGGCCAGCCTCGATGGCTGCTTGACGTAGCCGGCGGTCGAGAAGACGCTTGGAAAGTACCCAGCGGTCCCACTCGCTATCCACAAAGAATCCGTCAGACCCTACGAGCTCACGGACTATGTCGCCGGGCATATCGTCCCAGTATTTCAGAGGCATTTCCCAGCCATTCCTGCTGAGCATCGCCTTGGCCGACTCAAGTATGCGGTCCCCTGACCGGCCATAGTAATTAGAGGTGACTAGTCGGATGAGGTAGGCAAGCGTCTCGGGTGCCATCTGCCGCAGTATAGATTCAATCGCAGAGTCGATCAGGTCCTGCATCTCTAGCCAGCAGCCAGTCGCGAAGAGACCAATGGCTTCAGCGTCCAATTCTTTCGAGATGTCGACGCCATAAAGTTTACGTATAGCCAACTCGAATGATGCTTGCGTAATGCTGGAATCGATCTCTTCCGGGTGTAGTTTGACTTCCTTGGACCGGCTTTCGAGCCAAGGCTCAGAGAGGGCGGTCGTGAAGAAGGGTGCGCGGTCGAGGATGAGGCGGTGCAGAGGATATCGCTGGCCAAAGGCGATGATAGTAATGTCCGAGTGTCGGCCTTCGAGCAGCCCGCGGGTGTAAAGGTGGTCAGGCAGAGGTATGGCTTCGCCTGAAACTGACAATGTTAGCCTGTACACACGAGAATCTCATAGTAAGACTCACCTCGCAAATACAATGGTCCCGTCGCGTTGTTGTAGGAAGGTGCCCTAGTTCCAGGCATGGCTGCGCTCTCGCTGAACAACCTACTAATGTCGGTGCGAACAGAGTGCTCTGTACGCATCAGGTCCAACGTCGTGCGCCTTTTGCCTTGTTCTTCCAACGGGGTGTTTGGATCATCGGCGCTCTTTTGGGCTTGGTCTATCCGGGTTTGCAGCTGAACTATGGGCGGTCGTTCCTCTTGACCGTGAGCTCTGGACGCACGCGATGTCATGCTGGAGTAGTTGGCCAGTGACGGCATCGAGCGCGAGTAGCTGAGAGACCTCGAGTGGCTCACGTGTGCCCTGGGACTGTCGGTGACGTCGGACGGCGCAGATGGTGGTATGGCGGGTACGTTGGGCGAGAAGAGGCTGACGTATGGGGTACTACTCGAGCCTGCGCCGCCCTCTGTACGCTCTCCCTCGCCCAACGGCCATGTTTCGTTGCGCTCTAATCCACCAATCTGCGGCTCATTCTCATGATCGAGGTTGTTGTTCCCGTGACCTGTGGGTGGTTGATGGGCGGGATCCATGCTATGCTATAAGCTGCTTTGGAAGTACATGGGGCGTGGTGGTCGACGACGGCTGGGTATGCGACCGGGGCGGGTGGGGTAACGCAGTGCACGCCGGGTCT